CCGGGTAGAAATGGCTTTCTACCCGGAAAAGCTCACCGGAAGCGCTGGCGCCGCCATCTTTTTTTGATGAAAAAGTGCTTCCGGTGAGCTTTCTACCCGGAAAAGCTCACCGGAAGCACTTTTTTATCAAAAAAAGATGGCGGCGCCCAGCAACCAGCGGCCCGGTAAGACTTGTTCCGCGGACCGGTACCGGTCCGCGGACCGGCGGTTGGGGACCCCTGTTCTAGTCCAACCACCCTGCTCAAGCAGAAGGCCCAAAAATTATCCATAATTTTTAATTATCTTCATCATGACCACCACCACCCAATCTTCATATCACACTTACAATTAGGTTGGTCTGCTGCAAATGACATCACAAAAAATAACCGAAAGATTATGAACCTCAGACAACCTTCCTATGAGATTATTTGAGTTACCTGCTCTTGATAACTACATTTTATTGATGCCAAATACCTAACAAAGAAAGGGATTGGGTTAAAATTATAATAGGAATATCATACACAGCAGTGTTGATGTAAAGATGCTGGATTAGGCATTTACAATAAAAATTACAAGGAAATGTAACATTGCAGCAAAAATGTTCACTCTAATTCTATCATGATACCTATATATGTCTACATTCATAATGTCAGGTATTCAATGTGCAGTATTTGTTAGAAGCAAAGTCCTACATTGAAGCATAGCACCAAATGAACTTCTGGAAACTATGGAAATATCTCTGTGCAGAGTATATTTCAGCAGTCTAACCCTATTGCAACTAAGGAATGTGCAACTGTTGCCAGAGGTAGTGAAAGCTAACAAAGTAGTGAAAATGCATTCCTTCTCAGTACCTAGAAATCTAGCAAAGTTGGTAATAGTACATTCCTAGAGTGTGGATCTACTTGCTCAGAGGAAGTGTGACACCATACAGAATAAGCCAAATCACAATTATTAAGCTTGGTTTCCCAACTATCTACACAACTTTTAGCTTACCTGTCTCTAATTATAACTTCTGTAGTCCATTGCTGAATTTAGCCTAAAATCCTTACAATTGGCCAGCAAGATTAGTTGTCATAATCATAGTTAAGAGGCTCCTCATCCCAAAGTTCCACACAAATCTCCCAACAGTTTCATTAAGAAACAAGTTGGAATCTAACAGAAGAGCTGTCCCTTCAGGATGACCTCTACAGGCAAAACTAACAGGAAGAAACAATCCATATGACAATCACATATGACAATCACATTCTATTGAAAAAATAGGATTTAAGTTACAAACCATGATAGATGGGACAAAAGATATTAAAACGAATGCTACAAATGCTTCTACCATATTTACAGATAAAACTGCAAGACTTATTACCAAAGAAATTATAGCAGAGCCCAGATCTGAATCAGCAGCTTCCCAATTTACAGCTTATTTTTATTTATATCCTGCATTTATTGATTTTACAAATAAGGCGGAAAAATATCCAACATACCTCCCTCCTATTTCCCCCACAATATGGCTCGGGGCAAGAGTTGGGCTGTGACTTGCCCAAATTCACCCATTTGGCTTTCATGGCAAACGCGGGAATGGAACTCGGGGTCTTTCTTGCTTTCTAATGTAACCACTAGACCAAACTGGCTCTCTTATCCATTTTCATAAACTCTAGATTAAAAACTATTCTGTATGCTAGAATCCTACAACAGAGATCTCGTTCAATCAAGAAAATTAGCAGCAGTTGCAGGGCCGAGACTGGAACCGGTTCTTTTTAGTCCTGCCGTTTGTCTTACAACCTGGCAAGTTCACGGGCACAAGGTCTTCAATCGCCACTTGCCGAAGTTCTTCGGCGAGCTCAATATTCCACCCACGGGAAGAAAAACGCGCCTTGGGCACCCAGAATGGTAGGGAACGAGGAGCTCTGACTGACTGAATTTCAAGGGCTGAATTTCACAGCACATCTTCCTCCTGGAGTCCTGCAGGAACCGCCCGGGAAGACTCCCTGTCCCGCCGAGAAAGCGGCCCCGCCAGCCGCGTCCGCCCAACCGCTCCAGGCACGCTCGGGCCTGAGGCGGCGGCAGCGGCCCCCGAGAGCCCCGGACCGCCACGTGCTGCCCGAGAGAAGGGCAGCGGCGGCCCGGAAAGCTTCGCGGGGAGCTGTGCCTGGTCCGTCACCGCCACGGGGGACTTCCAACCTCCCGGCAGTCGCCCGGGATACGAAAGAAGGACCGCCGCAAAGGCCTCCCCACTTAGCTGCGTCGGGAGAAGCGTCCGGAATGGCCGGCAGACTGCTCCCCTCCCCCGGCGCGTTGGAAATTCCGTCGCTTTCCATCCTGGGGCGCAGGCGCGGAGCTCACCTCGTGTGGCTCGGGGCGAGAGGTCTCGGGCCAGACCAGGCGCCGGACTAGCCGTTCGCGTTCTCCCTAGTCAGCTCTCGAGCTGGTCCCCCAAACAAAATGGCGACCGGGGCCGCGCGCTCACGTCGCGGCCTTTCTCTTCCCGTCTTCCTCCGCGCAGGACGCAAAGCAAGGAGGCGGGACCTGGACCTGAGGCTCAATCCGCCTGCGCAGAAATAACTTTGACCAATAGAGATCCGTCCCAGCTGGTCCTCGAGTCCGCCTCCAGTTTTCTACCCAATCCCTAGAAGGACACCCCGATGTCGCCTTTGCACTCTAGTCGACGGAGGGCCGCAAAAATGCCCTCATGAAGTTGATGGAGACGGGAAATGGGCGGGGACGATTAAACTCAGAAGACCTTGCGGAGACTCAGAAGACCTTGTAGGACTGCGATTGGATAGTTTAAGTATCGAGCCCGGTGAGGCCAATCGCAGCGCGCCGCTGGTAAGCGGTAGCGTCAGTCGCGAGAGCAGACGCGCGTGCGCAACGGGCAGAGGTGGGACGAGAGGCTGAGGTCTTCAGAAAGGGCACCTGGTTTCGGCGACTTGGGCGGGGCGACCGGAGTGACGACATGAGACAGCGAGATCAGGCGGGGCCTTTTATTGACTGGCGGGGGCAGCTACAGGGGCGCCTTCCGGCGAGCGGCTCAGGCGTGGCTGGATGGCGCGAGGAAGCGGCGGAACATCTCCAGGGCCGGTCCGGGCTTGTACTGCGGCACCATGTGTCCAGCGCCCTGCGGAGAAGGAGGCGAGAAAGGCGAGCCGATGAGGCAGGAGGAAAAACGGCCAGCCTTGCGACCAGGGGCGCCTCCCACGGGCAGTCAGCGAGGGGGTCGTTAAGCAGTAAGGTCATCTGATGTCACGCTTTACAACCACATGGCTGAGCGATGGCAACCCGGTCCCAATTGTCATAACTCGACGATTTCTTCTCCCCCATAGAGATAGTTCTCGATTTACGACTACAATGGAGCCCAAAATTTGTTGCTTTATTTGTGAATTTTGCCCTCTTTTATGACAATTTTTGCCATGGTTGTTAAGCAAATCACTGCAGTTACATTAGTAACAGTTTTAACTGAATCTGGCTTCTGAAACTGAAACTTGGCTTATCAGATCACAAAAGTGACCTCAGGGCACTGCAACTGTCATAAATATGAGTTCGTTGCTAAGCAGCCAAATTTTGATCATGACCATGGGATGCTGCAACAATCGTAAGTGTAAGAAATGATCATAAGTCACTTTTTTCAGAACCATTGTGACTTTACACATCACTAAATGAACTGTTGTGAGTTGGGGACTACCTGTATGTTATTGTAATTGATTCCTGGAACGAAATACCTTGTTTCACACATCCCACAAAGTTGGAACCAAATAAGATGCATTAGAATGCAGCATTACACTAATTCTGCCTGCTGCTGGCAGTTTCTAGTCTTGCCAGCTCAAGGTTGACTCTGCCTTCCAGCCTTCCGATGTGGTAAAATGAAGACCCAGATTCTTGGAGGCAATATGCTGATTGTAAATGGCTTAGAGAGGATTGCAAAGCACTGAAGCAGTATATAAGTCTAAGAGCTATTGCTATTATGGTGTAGTGTAGTGTGAAAATTCAGCCTGTTGCTTTGTTTCTGGTGATCAGTGCTGGAGCTGTTTTTCACAAGTTCTTTCATAAAGCTGAGATGGGAGGCAGCAAACTTTATAACAAGTAAGTATTCAGTAATAGTGGGAGAGTCAAAGCATCTCCACTTTGCCATAGAGGTTCCTTCCAAAGATTGAAAATTATTTTTTTTCAACTACACAAGGGCCATTGTGCCTTGAAAAACAACATCCACCCCTTAGTAAAGTAATTGTTAGCTTCTATGGATAGGGGAAAAGAGAGATTTTCGCCTCTTTGATGTGAGCCTTGATAAGAACGACTGTTAGATGATAATTGTCCACTGACCTTTACAGTGAGGAATGTGGTGTTTTGGTATTCCTTAAAAAATCCAGCCACTTGATCATTGAAATATCATGGCTGGTATTCACTAAGCACCTGTATGATGAAAGGCAGAAGGATCAGCTCAGGGAGAAACCTGCTTACCATCCAATGAACTGGAGATCCCAACTTTTTGGACTAATGGACACATCTCTGGGAGTTCTTACAAATGACTCCCTATTAGAAAACACAAGGTTGTTTTCTGCCTCTTCTTTTAGCCTCCCTGGAGAATGATTCAACTGTCAAATAGCTTTTCCTGTTAACTACTAGTATCCAGTAGAGCCCCTTTTAGTCTATGGTAGCCCAATATCAAGAGTCTGATAACATTTTTCCCAACAATTAAAGGTGTAAACTTTTGTGAGCTACATATATATCTGATGAAATCACCCTTACCTTACGAATGTTTATGCCAATTTGTTTGTCAGAAAAGGTGTTACCAGACTCCTAAATGAGTTCTGCTTAACTTTCAGCTGGTAACTACTTTTATGTAATTTAAATCCATTGTTTGATATCATGCTCTATAGAACAAGAGATAGTAGGTTTTATCCATCTGTATGGCATCTGTTTAGGTAGCTGTATAACCATATTTTCTTATCTTTTCTCAATACTAAATATTTGAATTCAAAGCATTCAAAGGAGAAAAGATGCTTCAGAGCATATCATAGATGCTCACATAGCAACTGCTGCTTTTTTTCCAGGATCACATAATTAGCTGCAGTTTGCCTAGTTAATTAACCATCCAGCCCATAGGTCTGTAGAGATTCTTAGTCATCCAGGTCATGGGTTGTCCCAAAAGTGCTTTTTCAGGAGGCAACTAGACTTTCTTTCTTTTTTCTTTTGAAGACGTTTCACTTCTCATCTAAAAAGCTTCTTCAGCTCTGGCAGTGGCTCTTTCAGCTCCTTTCCCCACTATCCTGTCAAAGCTGAAGCAGCTTCTTGGATGAGAAGCAAAATGTCTTCAAAAGGGAAAAAAAAACAAGAAAGTCCAGTTGCCTCCTGAAAAAGCACCTTTGGGATATCCAGCCCAATCACATTGTGGGATAGTTTGAGAAATTATTGACTAAAGTTACTTTATGCCTATGACATTTTCCACAATTTATTACAGATGTTCCCTAGCCTTAAAAAAGGAATAAAGCAAGATTTGATCATGTCAAATACATGCTTGCTTCTGGTAATTGCCACATCGTTTTCCAGAGCTTGTAACCAGATTTCTCTATGATCTACTTAAAATAGTCTTATTTATCTACTTATTTATCAAACTCATATTGCTGCCCATTTCACCAAGTTACTCTGGGGAGTACACAATAAGTAAATAATACAACAAATGTAAAAAAGAATCAGATATAAAACATAAAAATTTATATTAATATTACAAAAAACAAATAGAAACCATAGGTGGAAATGATAAGCAGAACAGGAATAGATCAGGTGACCAGATTATAGGAAAAGAGATTGAGAAAGTAGAGCCCTTTCCAGGTGACAAAAGCAAGCAAGTAAAAATGTTCCTCTCCTTGGCTTTGCTGCATAGTAGATGGGGTCTTGCATTCTGGCCAATTCCTGCAGGAAAAGTACTTTCTTGCATTTTGTGTCTTGTCCCACTTGAAGACAGAAAGCTCAGTGATGTCACTGAAAGTACACAATCTTTCGAGCCTATATTGATTGCTGGCAACTGTCTGGATATGTCCCTGATGTTTTCTTGGCAAAATTTCACCATTCCATTCTTTCTGGGGCTGAGAGGGCGACTGACCCAAAGTCCTTAGGGAGAACTCTAACACTAGAATTCACAGTCTCCCAGTTTCCAATTCAGTGCCTTGACCACTACACCAAACTGGCTCTCCCCACAAAAAGTAAGCTTAATTAACAGTTACTTGCCATTTTGGAACTTAAGACACTTTTGTTAGACACCGTTATCAGGTTTGGTTTTTCTCACAATATTTGATAATGGCCATTTATCAGAAGGTTGAAGATTTCCAGAATGTTTCTGTTCTGACACAGTTCCCCAAACACGACAACCCCTCTGAAGTTAACTCAAAGATTCCTTTATTAGAAGCGCTGGCAGCCCTGGCAAAAAGTTTCTCACTGGAGGCTACCAAGTCCATCTGGCCGGAAGATGAATAGTTGTCTGCCACATCTATTCATCTCCGCCCCCTGCCTTTTATCCCCAGAGCTAGGGTGGGGCTTCACTGGCAGCGGTGGCTCTTTTGTCCCAAGGACCGGCCCATAGATTTCCACTGCTCTCCTTTCTGCCTTCTGTGCCTGACGCACTGGACCCAGCTGTTCCTCCTCATCAGCCACCTCCAGACCTGGGGGCTGTTGTCTCTCCATCTGAGGGCTGATGGATGGCCCAGGCTCTGCCTCTGTTTCTCTGCCAGCTCCACTCCCCTTCCCCATCGGAGTTCTCAGGTTGCCTTGATGCTGACCCTGACTCCCGTGCCACTGCCTCCTCTGATTCAGCTGGTCGAGGGGCCAGTGGCCGATAGGCCACAACAGTTCCCTCTTCTCCTTTGTCTCCCAATAGCCTCTTGCATGCTTTCTTCAACAGAATAATTGAAGGGTCTTTGAGAAGCACCCATTTTTGAGAAGGCAGCCATTTCAGAAATGTGAAAAACAAATGTCTGCAATACAGGTAGTCCTTGGCTTACAATCACAATTCGGCCCAACATTTCTGTCCCTAAGTGAGACATTTGTTAAGAGAGTTCTACCCCATTTTTATAATGTTAAGTGAATCACAACAGTTGTTAAGTTAGTAATACCATTAAGTGAATCTGACTTTGTCAGAAGGTCACAAAAAGTGAATCACCTGGCCCTGGGACACTGCAACCGTCATAACTATGAATCAGTTGCCAAGCATCTGAATTTTGATCACATAACCATGGAGATGCTGCAACAATCGTAAGTGTGAAAAACATAAGTCACTTTTTTCAATGCCATTGTAACTTCGAATTGTCACTAAACAACTCTTGTAAGTCGAGGACTACCTGTATTTGTTGCAAATCTTCCATTCCTAAAACAGTTTTTTATGCCTAGAAGAAAGAAACATTTTCCTCAGGTACTTACAGGCTGATTTAAAGCATCAATGAATTTTTCACCCCCGAAAAAGTTGCACGCCATGTCCACATCACCATTATAAACCAATGCATGAAAATTTTGTGTCAAAAACTTGTAGAAGGGAGCCATATCCATATATTGTCTTTGGTAGGTGGCAGACATCTGTGAGCTGTAACAAGAGAAGATTGTGAAAGGGCTGTCCCTTCTTTCTTCCCACCATTAAAATTAGATCATGCATGTCCCAAGTACAAGGACCAAGAAGTTCTCAGTTGCTTTTTCACTAAGGAAACTCTTTTCTGCTCATACAAGCCAGCAGAAGTCTAAGTGAATTTTTCTGAGTGCCAAGTTGGGCCGAGATATTACACACTCCTCATGTCTCAGAGAAAGTAAAAGAGAACTCAGCGATCATAACTGAAACCAGAATTTCCACTGCTAAGCATCATAAAGCATGACGTGATTGTGCTTTAGCATTGGAAATACAATTGCCATTAAACAAATCACTGCAGATTATTAAGCAAGGATTTCACATGGTCTCCATTTGTGACCTGGTTGTCCCATTGATTTTGCTTGTAAAAAGCCAGTGAAAAAGACTGGTTGCAGTCACACGACTGGGACACTGCACTGTTGTCATTGCAAGTCAGACATGGAGCCCTTGCAATCGTGGTCGCAGGGATGCTACCACCAACGCAAGCGCAATGACCGGTGGTAATTGCCACTTGCTCAGCACCATTGCAAGTTCAAACAATAACTGAATGAGAAGTTAAGACACCTGTGTGTGCTGGAGTAAAAATTCATTCCCATCTTGAATTCTATAACTGGAACCTTAATTATGTTAGGTTTTCCCCACGGAAATCTTTAGTAAAAGGGGAAAGATTTGAGATATGCCTTGGGATAACTCCACAGGAAAAGCTCGC